AATCGAGCTCCAACAACTTTTGTCGAGTTTTATCAAAGACACATGAGGCCGCGCATTGTCTTGATGAAACACGACGCCCTTCCGATTCGCTATTTCTGGACGTTTTTGTTCAATTGCTGTCTTCAATTCGTCTAATTGGGAACAATACTTCTCTGAATTTATCGTCTCGTTGTTTGGTAAAAGCTCATAATACAGGATCCCTTTCCAATCCCACCAGACACAGAGCACGATCTTCTTTGGACGAAGATCGGCTTTTGGGATGGCTAAAGGTGGTTCATTCTGCTTTCCCCGAGATCTTTTTCGCTCAACATTATTATAAATTCCATTTTTCATCGCCCGTCACTACTTGCTTCAAAAATGGTGTCTCCTCATTACGTTTATAGAGTCGCAAATGGAAATGCGATCCATCAGATTTTTCTCTGTTAAATCGTGGGGAACCTATACATTAAAACGGTTTATGTAGGCAAGCTTCACAAAATGCTCGTGGATTTTTACATATTCAACATTTCTGTCAATTTACGTGTTGTATAGCGTGGATTATTCTCGATCTGTATTTTAATCTAATCTTCATCTGTGGTGGAGGGCCTACCCGGGCGTTCTTGATCTTCAAGGTTGAAATCACCAGCTTTAAACCTAGCAAACCACTTCCACGTAGTTCTTTCAGCTACAGCACCTTCGCCATAAACAGCGCTTATCTTGTTTGCTGCTTGTGTGGCATTTTTGCCTTTCCGGTAAAAGAAAAGCATTAAATGCTTAAAATGCATTTTGTTTTCTTCCATATTCAAAGGCGTATAAAACTAACAAAAATTAACGTATCCAAACGTATCGCAACCAAATTTTTTTCCAAGTATGCTTGAAGTACCGTCTTTTACGATATGTACGCGTGTCATTTGTTTTCGTTTCTGATATATTCAGACCTGTCCTTATGCCATCTACCAAAAATCGGCAAACTTTCCGAACAATCCAATAGTATGATCCACTAGAACACACTGTCATTGGAAATTTGTATTCTATTATATTTTATGTTTTCTAAATGAAGAAATCTTACACGTTACACAAATGCTTATGTAAATAAATAATTTACTACGCTTCTGTTAAAATAAATATTTATTTGATGACGTTAGAAAATTTCACAATAAGAACCTTCAATAAATATAAAGCGGTAAAAAAATCAACCACTGCCTATAGAACAGTAATTGCGATCGAATTAATCTGTATACGCATGCGCGAATAAATAAAAAAGATAGAAGGTCGTCTTTCAGTGATCTTCCCTTTTTTTCGTAGGACTTTGATGAGCTCATCATGCATATAATTAGAGATATAATTAGAATAATTACTAATAAGATATTGATAAGACTTTCTATTGTATTATTGTTTAAGTTTATTATTACAAAACTTGATATCAGATCTAAAAATCAATATTGTTTCATGTCGTATCTCGGAGTTTGCTATATCTATTATTCATTCTAGAGTTCATTGATTATTCAATTAAACATTGTATCTTATTACATTAATAGAATTTATATTTGATAATAAAATCACTTTTATTTTGAATATAAAACTCCGATGTTAATTCACTTAGATTAGATTGATGCAAATATTTAACACTGCCGATTGTAAAAGAATAGTTGACCAGTGATTTAGTTAAATCGACATTATAGAATCATTCGAGATAAGAGAATTCTCTGTACGAGATCTCGGATCAATTTCTTTCGTGAATACAAACTTTACGCGGATTAACCTTAAGCGGATTAGCGGATCGCCAATCACAAAATCATTCTATTAGATCTGTTTGCAAAATTTGCAAATTCTGTGAATGGCGATCCGTTAAACCGCTTACACATGAACCGCTCTATGAGACATTAACGATACAATTATCGCGTACGTAAAACAGCAGATCGTTAGTGATTGATTAGATCCTTCGATTCCCGAATACGCGCATACAACAATACGCGTCATAGGATCCTAACTGCCGACCCATAATGGACCAATCACAATAAGATTGATTTAATGTGATTGATCATTATTAATCGGCAGTCAGAATTGGCAGTCGGGTCGACTTGCAGTCAGTAGTCTAATACGGGCTTAAGACACACCCTACATTCGTTTAGGGTCGCACAAAATTCCACAACAGAGACCGTAAGACGTAAACTAAGCCGATGAACTAATCAGGATATTGTTTTATGTCGTTTAACGGAAATGGAATAACAGTAAACTTATCCTATAACCTCGCAATAAGGCAGTTGCGGAAATTTGCCTCATGAATAATTTTACTACTATTTCTATTTCCGTTAGAGTACATAAATCTAAAACGATATCCTGATTATTAGTTTAAGTTCACGTCTTAAGGTTACTGTTACAGAAATTTTGTGTACGACAGCCCTTATCCCAAATCTATAAATTTTTAAACCTAGATTTAATAGATTTTTAAGCCTTAAGCTGTAAGAAATGGACGAATCACAATCACTTATTTAAAAAATTCATATTAAAGTTTATTTATCACTAATTCGTGCCGCTTACCGCGCGACAAAATGAGACGCGGCAATCAATGAACACATTAGAAACTGTAAGCTTATTGACTACCGCATCACATTTTGTCGCGTGACAAGCGTTTCCGCATCCAGTGTGTAAGAGTCAATAGAGGAAAAAAAACAAGCGGCATGGTTTGCGCGATTCCTATTACCTAGTTACCTAATTAATTTCTGTACCGCGATCGTGCTACATGTAATCGCACTCTGAGCGGCACGGACTAGTGACAAATAAACTTTAATATAAATTTTTTTAAATATTAATTTTTTTAAATATTAACTTATTTTTATGCACATTTCATTAACACTCTTATTTTTTCAACGAATTTACTTAATAATTACGTATAAATCAATTAATTCTATTAAAAAAGTGCTTAGTAATATGAATTTGTTACTGGCACAGTAGCGCGACTCTCTGTCGGCACTTTTGATGTTAGTTGGCCAAAATGGAATGCGCATGCATTGAAATAACTAAGTTATTTCTAGCTAGGTACTAAGTACCTAGCATTGCCATGATTACTACCTAACTAACTACTTAACTAAACTTCTTTCTCTTTTCATCCTTTTTCCTCTATCAAAATTCCTTGCAAAATTCACTAAATTTATTCACATCGCAATCCAACAAATTCATTGAAGTGAATAAGTATTATTGCAAGAACATATTGGAGCATATTAAAGCATGCGACGCAAATAAACCTAATATTGCAATGAAATAATTTAAACTTTATGAAAATTAATAAAAATGAATTGTAATATATTGAAAAATAAAGAAAAAATATAGAAAAATTGGAAAAATATTAAATTAACTTAAAAATGTATATTTGTATAAAGAAATATCATGAATTGTATATCTATGAAAATATAGTAATTATTTAGAATAACATACCCCACCTAAAATCTTAATGAAACACTACATTCATTCGACGCGTTTTCATTCAAAATAAAAGAATCAAAATGTGGCGGTTGAACCGAGATATTAAATGTCAAAGTTCGAGATTTTAGAAGTTAAGATATCTGCCATTCCGATTCGCTGCAGCGCTACGTATACGTAAGATCTGTTCTTTTTCGAAGAATTCTGAAATAGTGCAATAAATTAAAGTGAGACAGTTGTAGTTCGGAGCACTTTGAGCGCTTTAAAAACGATTCACTACTTTAAAAATAATTCATTGTTTTAAAAACAATTCATTGTCTTAAAAACAACAATATAAAAATATAAAAATATAAAAACATACAAATTCTTTGCATTAGTATGAATTTGTATTTTTAAAGCAGTGTTTTAAAGAATTGTTGTTTTTGAAGCAATAAATTATTCTTTAAGCAGTGAATTATCTTTAAGGCAGTGAATTATTTTTAAAGCAGTGAATTGTTGTTTTTAGAGCAGTGAATTGTTTTTAAAGCAAAGAATTTTTTTAAAGTAGTGAATTGTCATTTTTAAAACAGTGAATTGTTGTTTTTAAAATAGTGCTTTTATGTTTTTAAAGCATAGAATAGAGCTTATTATTTAAAATATATACCTTTTTGATTTTTCTTATATGGATTAAAATTTTACAAAATGTTACAAATATTTCATTATGGATTATTTAATTCATTAATTAAAATTAAAGATATTACCTCATGATTTAAATAATTAAACCTGTAATGAATCGCGCGTTTTCCGATCTTTTGTATACGCTTTTTTTAATGTAAAGGATAAGCTGTCGTGTGAAAAAAATTTTCCGATATTGCATTTACAAAAGAGAAATTTACGAGAATCATTTAAGTTGCGATCCTAGAACAATTTTCGGATAAACTTTGGTCATAATTTTGAATGTCCAATTACATCTTGGACAGCAAGCCAAGGATTTTTATTCAGTTGCTCTACTGAATATGCCATTTTACTTATTATAATTAAGACATGGTTAAAATCTTGCTACAAATATTTTGAAGCATTTGAATCAATTAGAAGAAAGAATTTTACAAACTGACCAATTAAAAAACATTTCAAAGCGTTTGTAATATCGCATTGATCCTAAATCAGTCTACAGCAGAGAAGTATGTATTCCAAAACGACAACCTTACTGACCGCTTAGTGAACTTTTTCATTTGATTGGTATATTCCATTATGTCCTAAAATATAGACTAATCAAATGAAAGTGCTCCAAACTCACTCTAATTTATTGCACTATTTCAGAATTCTTCGAAAAAGAACAGATCTTACTTATCGTAGCGCTGCAGGGAGTCGGAATGACAGATATCTTAACCTAAAATTTCAAACTTTAACGCTTAATATCTCGATTCACGAGATCGACTATTGCATTTTTTTTCCAGATTTTTTCATTTTGAATGATCGTCGAATGAGTATATTTTTATTAAGATTTTAGGTGAGGTATGCTATTCTAAATAATTACTATAAAAAGAAATCTTGCTTGGTTTTCTATTATTTTTGTTCACTTTTTCACTTTATCACTTTTTCACAAAAATTAGATCAATCTCTCGAGATTTCTCACACAACATTTCACCAAATGGACAATACACGTAATACTTCTCTCTAAATTTCTAGTTTGAACCACGTATGCTTAAAAAACAAAATATTTAAGTGAAATATTGAAACGCTTACTTAAATAGAGTGAGAGAGACAGAGAGAGAGAGAGAGAGGAGAGAGAAAATAAAAAAAGGAGGAAAAGAAACGGGGGCAATTTACTTATTTCACGTATGCGCACTCCATTTTACCAGCCATAATCAGAAGAGTTGCGCTACTGTATATACTGTATATACTGTGTCACTGGCCTGTGTCACTTACCGCGCTATACGCAATAGAAAAGAAGCAAGTGGCACGGCATGTGCGATTCCTATAATTACCTTAGTTATGCTGGAGTCTCATGAGACGTATTTGCCGCGTATCGCGTAACCGCGTAACCAATTAGAAGCAATCCGCTTTTTTTGCTATGCGTAAATAGATCTACTGTCCCATGGCGCGTAAAAGATAGTTTGCGTATACGTGAAAATCAATCATATTTCTATATTCTTCTAGAGTTCTATAATGGAAAGCCAAATTCATTGGTTACGCTATTTATAAAAACGCACCATGAGACAGGAGAGAAAATTCGCGTACACATACATCTCTACAAATAGTCGTATTAACTTCTATAAGATTTACTCCGAGAGATAGGTATTAATTAAAGAAAAATCTGTTCTACAATCTGATTACACATTTATATCGTCAAATACGAATTCAAATGATTTGTGCACTTCGTCAGCAAAAGGAATTCAAACACTGTTGATGGTTCAGCTGCACATTTAAAATTGCGAAAATTAATAACTTGATTTGGTTATTAATAAAAAAGAATAAGTGAAATCAATGATCAGCTGTACATAAATTTTGGGTTCAGTATTTTCTTATGAAAATCAATTACTTCAAGGAGCAAGTGATAATCTTGTAAAAGAATTTTGTAAAAGTATAACAATTCCACAATTGCTAGTCAATTTTTTAATTACTTTCATATGAACATGAAAATATACCAAGAATTAAATTTGGTGGAACTACTTATAACAAAGCAGAAAATATGTATTCGAATGCCAATATCTGAAAACACACGTTTGGAAATTTGTTTGCGCTATTTAGCTTCTGGTAATAGCATGAAATCACCGAGCTGAACATAATCATTTCCAAAATTATGTCAGAAACTTGTGAAGCAATCTGGACGGTGTTAAAAGGTAAAATTTAGTCTATCATTCAATGAAGATATTTGGAAGAAAATTGCTAACAAATGAAATTTGAAAATCAGTTAGGAACTTTCCTAACTGCATAGACGCTGTGGATAGAAAACACGTTATGATTCAGGTATTTTTAATTTTTCAAAATTTTATTTAAAAATAATTTTAGAAAACATTTTTCTTGTTACAGGCCTCCACACAGTAGCTCAACATATTATAATTATAAATCATACCATACAGTTTAAATTTGCTCGCTGTTTGTGATGCAGAGTATTGCTTTATTTTCTTAGACATCGGAGCTGAAGAATGTCAAAGTGATGGTGGAGTGTTTAGAAACAGCAACTTGTATAAAGCATTGGAAGAAAATTTAATAAGAATATCACCAAATGTTATTGGAAATAATGGACTTGTTTTACCATACATGATTGTGGCAGATGAAGCTTTTCCCTTTTAAAAACGTACATGATGCAACTGTCTCTGAAGTCAACAACTCAATGAAACGAGAAAATGTTTAACTACAGATTTAGTCAAGTAAAACATGTTATAGAAAATGCTTTTGGAATATTAGCAGCGAGATGAAAAATCTTTAAAAAATCAATTATAGCATCTACTTCTACTTGCAAAAAAATTATACAAGCAATATGCTGTTTACACAATTTTCTAATTAAATGTAAGCTGCAAAAATCAGTTGCAGAAATTTGCGAGTTTATTCTACAATGCACTTACATAATTGTAATGTTTATACAGGCGTTATAGATTCAGGAAATGTGGAACCAATTTTCATTCGCAAGGTGCAAGTGTAATAAGAAATACATTTGCTGCACATCTTGAAGGTCATAGTTGCATGGCAATGAGAAAAAGTTTCAAAACGATTTTTAGAAATAAACTGTTATAATATATCATGCAAAATTTATTTATTAATATTCGAATAATTTTATTTTTTAATAATACATATAATAATACATATAATAATACATTCCTTATATATAATAATATATTCCTTATAAATATTTAAAGATAACGTTTAATTTATTCCAACTCCTCATTTACAGCCATTGTAAGTAATTTTAATTGTAATCTAGTGCATTTCTCATATGGCAGTCGCCATAAAACTTTTCCTAATACTTTGAGAAATCCATCTATTGCATCGATTTGGAATGGGCATATTTAAGACGTTCAATAAAGATGATGCTACAGCGGATAATTGATCATTTTCTGATCATTTTCAGTTTATAATTAGAAATGATCACAAGAGAAGGACGATTTAGAAGTAGAGTTGGCAATCGAAACATGATATCATCACTTCCTACAGGATTTTAAAAATCAGGCGACATTACATTCTCACCAGCAGATAAATATCCAGAAATATCTTTCCTCAGAAGCAGTAGGCTGTAATTCTATTGATAACTTATTGTTCTGTAAAAAAATATTAATTATTGTGAGAAAATATACGATATAGTATAAATTTGTTCATTCCTTAAATGACTTACGATTCTATTTGAAGAGTATCATCCAAAGGCTTTATTAATTCAAAATTAATTCAATATCAATAAGAACTTTTAAAATTTGATGGTAATGCGCTAGAAGGAACATATGTTTTCATCTTTTTTCTCTCACATAGCAGTCACGATGATATTTTCACTTTTTTTGCAATCTTCAATTGATATAATACCTGTAGAATAGGCATACAAAATTTAATCTTATTATGAAGACATTGTGAAATATGACTGGGAAAGTTGTTACTAAAGCCATAGCTTCTATTGATAACAGCATTGGAAAATTTATTTTAAAAAATGTATGTTTATAATATATCACCAAGAATATTTCTAATTTTTTCCCATAACGCATTTTCAATTTTGATCGCTCGCACATCAATTCTATGATCAAATAATGATGGTCTTTCCATGATAGCCATTATTAGATGTTCATCAATGTTAGATTGAGCTGATATATTAGACTGGATTGATGGTTGCGATTACTGCAGCTCTGTATATTTTTTGCACGGTTTTTACTGCAAGGCAGACTTTTAAATATTACTTTATTCAAGGCACATTTTAATAAGCATTATAAAAAAAATTTTGTACAGCAATTAAGTTTTGATCAACATTAATTAGATTTTCTCTCTTATCATAACTCGCAAAACACCGGTGTTCCCATAAATTTTGACAAACAATATTCATAGTCATCATATTCAGTAGTCATCCATAGTATCCGTACTTGAGTTGCTAGAAAAAATATAATTATGAAAAAGGATTCTTTTGAACCTCGCAAAATGTTTATGCTAACAAATAATTATAATATTATAAAGAATAAACCGTTAAGCAAAGTGAGAAGGCTCAATGATAAATAAATATAAATAGAAATGAGCATACAGCTACAACGCAAGATGTCATTTGCAAAATCATATATTAAAAATTACAATTTTACAATTATTAACGAATACATGTCGAGGCTTAAACGTTCCCTTATAACTAATTTGAAAAATTAATAACTTGTTACTCTTCAGGAAAGTTATTACATAAATATAAACATACTCTATGTTAGGCGCGAGGTCTACAATATAATAATATTCATATATCAATTAATATATATTTAAAATTGGATGTATTCATCATTTCTTGAATTTGTACTGATATAAACAGACCACGATTGAACCTAAGAACGATTTAATTATGGAATTAAATATGGAATTAACGATTGGACGATTTGATGAGGTGAAGAGAGAATACACTGACACATATGAACACCTACATTGATAATATCGCGTAATATGCCAAAAATAGAATTCGTACCTGCTTTTGGCGAAAAACAAAATGCCAAAAACAGCGGATTGCTTTTGATTGGTTATGCGATACGCGGCAAATACGCCTCATGGGAAATACTCCATCATTAGTACCGTACATGTAATCGCACCTTAAAGCCTAGAACATTGTGTGCAATGCAGTGCAACATGTATGAAACTTAATGAAACTAATAGCTCTAGCCACGCGAATCAAAGGATGTTTTTTTCCTTTGGATAAGAGTGATACCCTGAGGCACGAGGAACATCTTCGTTGGTTGATCACACTTCACAGTTGATCAGCAGGGAAATGCAGATTAGATCTTGAGGTCTGAGTTCTGAGCATTCTGACAACTGAGAGTCTTCGTTTTGGTCGCAGTCAATTGTGGTCAGCTGGTCGCGGTGTTTTCACTTTTCACTCGAGACGTTGCTTGATGCTTGATGGTGAAGCGTGAGTGAATACATCGCAACATCATATCGGTCGGTGTTGATTGACTGCTGTTGGTTGTGATTGTCAGCTCGATCACGAATGAGCGTCTCGCACACTTAGAATGAGATCGCCGTTGTTGCACAGTCTCACCGGGTTACGATATCGTCGCAAATGACGCAGGCTCAGCTACCAGATTGTGGAATTCCATTCCGCCGGGCGCTCGTTTCTTCGATTAGGAAATATGCCTTGTAAAAAATAGGGGACATGAGGAATAACGCGACGTTCTTTCGTCGTTGATCCGTCGTTAGAACAACATATTTTACGCTAGGAAAAACGCACGACTCCGATGCTGGAAGCATTCCTCTACTTTCTTCACTACTCGAAAGATCTATGAATACGACACGCCGTATTATCTCACGACAAGTCTCAAGCGAAGACCGAGAAACTATAACACAGATATGTAACAATAAGGTATCATCTAGTCATCTACCTATTTTTATATCTTCTTTTCTCCATCTCTCCTAGATTGTCAATCTTATTCGTACAAGTGGAGCTTGCAGAACTTGTCAACGTTGTAAATCCTTGTTTGTTTTTTTCTATAAACTTTTCAAATATCTACCTATTTTTATGTTGATAAGGTATCTCAAAGATTGCAAGAGCTAACCACGAGGCAATTTTTGTGTCTCTTGTAGTTAATAATTTGATATTCTTACTCTCTTTCCTTAACATCATAATGAGTCTTTACATATTATCTATATATCAATGATACTTTCCAGCAAGAGAGACACAGAATCATTGTTCTATGCCAATGCTAAATGATCACTGTCTCTTGCTGAAAGCATCACAAACCTCATGGCTTGAATCACTTGAATATTTGTACTTAATGGAGACAAATAGAAATATTACATTTAATACAAGCCATAAGGGACAAAGATATCATTTTTCAGTTTTCCATCAAGACTGCCAATGTAAGACTGAATTACTGATGCATGGCATAATTATCTTTGATGACAAGTACGGTCAGCATCAATGGGAAACTGTTTTTCGTGCTTCAAGGTGCCACTTCCACCATCGACCAGTACTGATCACACGATTGTATTGGAGCACAAAGACGGTAGATACAATCGATTTTTTCTTCTTTCATATATTACATTTTTAGATTCTTTTTAGTGCAAAGTATATACATGCAAAAAATTATTTAATCTTAACTTATTCAGTTCCGCTCCTTTCACCGCTAAAATAATTCACATAAAATAATTCACAATTTTTTAATTACCTTTTATAGATACAATGGAACTCAGAGGTTTGTTTCCAAATTCTTGTCAACAATCCAGTTCTTTTGTGCCTGAAACACATGTAAATGGGAACAGAAAATCCACAAGTATGCTACCTACATTTAATAATGTAGGTTCAGATAATTGTGGATCTGTACCTAATGTACAAAGTAATTTGCGTTTATCGCGAGGATTCTATGCGCGATTACAGCCATTAGGACGATCCAATACATCATCGGGTCTTAATTTAAGTATTGAAACTAGGCAGCAAAGGGAACCTTCAGAGAGCAAACTAAATGTTCTTTTTGATCAATACAAGGTATGACACGTAAAATATATTTTTATGTAAACAGAAAGAACGTTGCAAGATCATGTATTATAATGCACAAAAACATTTAATAATTTAATAATTTAAGATTATAAAGAATTATACAAATACTATGATTAATATATGTTATATGTTTCCTTTTAAGGATCCTCATGAAGATGTAATATTAGCTGATGGTATAGAAAGACTCTGTAATGATTTACAATTATCACCCGATGAATTTAAAGTACTTGTGCTTGCATGGAAGTTGAATGCACAGCAAATGTGCCAATTTACGCGCCAGGAGTTTGTCACAGGATTAAAAACGATGAAAGTCGACAGTATACGTGGTGTACAGGCACGATTGCCTGAGATCATTCAAGAATTAACGATCAATAGTGATTTGTTCAAGGATCTCTATCGATTCACATTCCGATTTGGCCTCGACGTAATGTCTGGTCAAAGAATCTTACCAGTTGATATGGCGATCGATCTTTGGAGACTCGTCTTTACGATACGTGAACCTCC